GAGACGATCAGCAGGGGGCGCTGCAGCAGAGAGACGCCGTACAGCTGCACCAGCTTAGGGTGGCACAGCCTCCTGGAGAGGAGGTGGGTTAACATGTAAATAACACGGGACAAATATTACGTAAATTACACAGTACAAATACTACGGAAAAGTACGGAAAACACAGTGGGACTAAAGGTCCTTACACACCAAACTGACACCAAAGAACACGTCCCGACGGAACGTCGCCTCACGTCGCCTCACGTCTCCTACGTTTTGGCCATGTGTCACTGGAACACACCGTAAAGACTTCAGCCGACGGCCAAGTTGCACGTACGAACTGCGCATGCAAGAGTGGCAATAACTCTCCTTACCAGCAGGCGGTGGTAGTGTGTATTCGTCCTTCAAAAGAGGCACTACCTGAAGACAGACTGCGTGATAACCGAGAGAAGAAGAACAGACTGCGTGATATAAACAAACAACAAATAGCGTGTTCCATTTTCACTCTACAGCGAGAAGCTCACGGGGCTTCCCCCAACCTGTGTCGAGAGCTGGAGTTAAATGAGATCTCAGATTTGCCTTCTCAATCGTTTGTTTGGGTCCCTCACTTCCGTTCGCTTCTGAACAGCCAATCAGAGTGATTCATTTTGCCGACGGTCTTTGGCCAACAGCCTCTCGATTCAACATGTCGAATGGGCGGCGGAAGGTGTCGAAAAGCAGTGTTGGGACTAACGCGTTACAAAGTAACAAAGTAACGCGTTACTGTAACGCCGTTATCTTTGGCAGTAACTAGTACTCTAACGCATTATTTTTTAAGTTCAGTAACTCAGTGACCGTTACTACATGGTGCGTTACTCCGTTATTTTTTTTATATAGTCTCGGTTCCCAGACGTTGGTGAGCGGCGCCAACAGCGAGGCGAACAGAGATGAGAACTGTACTTAAGTACTTGAGTAAATGTACTTAGATACTTCCTGTGTCACATGCGGAGACGCGCTGTGGGCGTGTTTGTGTTCACTAACAAGACTATCATGGCGGAGCTCAAGTCGAGTTTCTCCGCCTGGAGATATTCTCACTATTCCACTTTTGTCGAGCACAAAGAAAAGAAGGTTTTAGTTAAATGTAAGTTGTGTCTTGGCGGGTCAAAGATCCTATTTACTGCCCAAAACAGCAATTCAAATCTGTTGAAACATCTGCAGAAACAACATGCTGGGACGAAGCTAGTAGCTAAGACCACAGACCCGGCTGCTGGATTTTAACCGAGGGACTGCTAGCCAGGGAAAAGATGAATGTGTGGACAGTAACGCACATCTGCGCGTCACGCACGCTCGGCACACTAGAACCAGCCACTCGTGATTGGTGCTTGTTAGTCAAATGTACTAAATGCCAATATCATCGCGTTCATCATCGAGTTCAGCTCAAAGAGGCGGACCTCTATAAGGGAGTGATAAGGGAAGAAACAGCTCGTGTTTCTCTCTCTCTCCACCAACACAAGTTTATTACCATGCTCAAACACAGAACCGCCAGTTTCTAGGGATAGATTAGTGCGGGGTTGTTGTCGTAAGTTTAGAACAAGACTTATCGATAATTTGGCGGTCGTATGTCTATGTATGGACAGTTACGCGNAGATGATGAAGCCATTGCACGGTATGTTGTAGAACACATGCAGGCTATTTCTACTATTTCTATTTCTATTTCTTGATCAACAGCTTGTATTATTCTCCAATGCAATAACAGTACTGAAATGAAGGCTATAAGGGCATTAATGGGAGCCCTTTTTTAAGTAACTAATGCGTTACTGTGAACAGTGACGCATTAGTTACGCATTAGTTTTTGGTGTAAGTAATCAGTACAGTAACTGAGTTACTTTTGAAATGAAGTAACTAGTAGGTAACTAGTTGCTGGTTTCCAGTAACTAGCACGACGGTGCAGTACACACCAATCTGAGTAGGGCGACACGACACTCATCGACGGCCCGACATCTATCGACGCCGAAAATTGGCTTGGTGTGTACGGACCTTAATACGTAGATAACACAGTACAAAAACTACTGAAAAGTACTGAAAACACAGTACATGATGACACGCGGCATACAAATTACTTAAATAGTATAGTATTTTTATTATTTTAATATTTGTATTCTATTTTTTTTTTCTAGTTTTATTTTTTGATATTTTTTTGTTGATTCTTCTTTCATTTTATTTTTAATTGTACTTGTTGTGTTTCTTTATATATAGTATATATTCCATTCTTTCTATTTTAATTGTATTTTTTTAATTACATTTTTTTAGAAGTACACAGTATGTCCCTGTAATAGAACTACACATGACTTCACGTCACCACCACTAAGCACCGCTAAGCTAAAGCAGGCTAATGTTGGGCTATAAAGGAACTACAGCACGGTCACATGACTTCACCTCACCACCGCTAAGCTAAAGCAGGCTAATGTTGGGCTATAAAGGAACTACAGCACGGTCACATGACTTCACGTCACCACCGCTAAGCTAAAAGCAGGCTAATGTTGGGCTATAAAGGAACTACAGCACGGTCACATGACTTCACGTCACCACCGCTAAGTTAAAGGCGGCTAATGTTGGGCGTGATGACATTTAGTCACATTTTATTTTTGTATTTTCGCCTCCTTACATCATGACCTTGGCCTCCTCGATGAAGTCCTCTTCCAACATGGCTCCCTCTCTGATGGCCTTGATGGCCACTCGGTGTTGATGCCTCCACTTCCCCAGCCTCACCATCCCAAACTGCCCAGAGCCCACCTCCTTCATGAAGGTCAGCTCGCTGGGGTCAATCTCCCACTTCTCTATAGGGGGGAGAGGGGGGAGAAACATGGAGTAATGTCTGGGGTCAATCTCCCACTTCTCTATAGGGGGGGAGGGGGGAGAAACATGGAGTAAAGTCTGAGGTCAACAAAAGCTGGAGAGATACCCTACCTACTTACACTTCATTCCTTCAATATACTTACTTAGTTCCTGACTTACTTCTTTCTTTCCTTAATTACTTATCCTTCCTACCCTTCCTTCCTTTCTTCCTTCCTTCCTTACTCATTTCCTTCCTTCCTTACTTCCTTACACCTACGTACTTCCTTCTTTCCTTCCTAACATACTAACTTAAGTACTTGCTTGGTTGCTTACTTACTGACTCACTTCCTTCCTTACTAACTTGCTTGTTCCTTCATTACTTCCTTATACTTACTTCTGTCTTTCCTTCCTTAATTACTTACACTTCCTCCCTTTCTGACTT